ATGATTCACAAACAGGATAGTGACAGTCTTTAATGATTACAGATTTCACATATTCTGTTCCTTCAAAAGGGCTTATATAGATTGATAGATCTACAAAGAAAGAAATGAAAAAATGAAGAGAAGAGATATAAATAGACTTTTTCATTAGGATGAATGATGGCAGGTATTAACCCCACTACGGCAGTGTGCCTTCTACATGTCTTCTTTTTCATTCCTTTTGACCTGCTATCAGCTTCCTTCTAAGTAAAAGTTAACTACAGGCTGAAATGTAGGTAAGGTGAGCAATAGATAGAAATAAATGTTTCCTCAAGCATTATTACTGTTCAGGAAAGTGTCCATCAGCCAAAATGTCAGGCTCAAAATCCATTTAAGCACTGCACAGAGGCTAAACAGGCAGCTATTATTAATTTTTAAGTCTGCCTGATGGGTTTCAGACCAAGAACTGGGGTTAACTTGGTGCACTGAATATTGCAGAGTACTTTTAATTAGGGAGGCTTTGACTCTCAGATGGCGGAGGATTTATTCTGTGCAAACTAATGCAAAAATATGATAGAATAGCTGCATCTACTTAAGAAAAGAATCTGGTGCATCATATTAAAATGCATAAAGTTGCTCTTTCATTACAGTTTCTTGGACTTTTATCCTAATGTAATCCCTGTCTACTTTTAACCTGTTTTGAAGCACCACTGTACTTCTTTCTTAAAGGTTTCTTCATTATTCTGCAAGTTAGCAATGTGAATTTTTCCAGAATAAGTCCTGTTTTCTTTAGCTAATTACCAAATGAAACCATTTTCCCACTTTGCCTTACACAGACATTTCTTCATTTAAAACATATTTGTGGGATTGCTATGAATGAGTTAACATTTGTCTTCAATGTATGTATCTATAAGCATAGAGGACTCTAAAAAACAAATGGGCATTTTGACATAAATTAGCAGAAATTGAGACACTGAAGGGCTATTTAGTTCCTTTTGGTAGGATTCAGGATCTTAGAAGGGAATAGAAAAAGTAACAAATCAGAGATTATTTCCCTTCACTGGTTGCAGAATCTCCTAGCTGTATCTATGTGGCTGCTATGACCAACTTCCAGTGCATCGCTCTTGCCCCTGCCCCAGGTCATCCTTCCCTAACTAAAAAAATCTATTCACACAAGAGTCTAGAAGATTAAATGTAAAGGTACAAGTGAAAATGGGAAACTTGCCCATTCCTAATGAAGGACATTGAGCTAAATTACACCACACTTTCCAAGACTGAGACGATTTCCGCTTGGAACAAAAGTTACTGCTCTGAAAGGCAAGCAGAAATTAAATACGGATGCCTAACTTCTTTGTGGATGGGCACTGGGTTAGGATTACTGTAGCATTCGATGTGTTTTACTGGTTAATAAATGTCAGTTGTTCTCCATTCTCAGTGATTAAATTTCCATTGGTATCATTCCCTTGGACCTGTTGGAGCAAATCCAGAAGAGGCCATGAAGATGATCAGAGGGCTGCAGCACCTGTCCTGTGAAGAAAGGCTGAGAGTATTGGGGTTTTTAATCCTGGAGAAGAAAAAGCTCCGAGGAGACCTTAGGGAACCCTCCAAGTACCTTGAGGGAGCCTACAAGAAATATATAGAGGGACTGCTTCCAAGAGCATGTAGGGACAGGACAAGGGAGAAGGGCTTTAAACTTAAAGAGGGTAGATTTAGACTGGTTGTTCGGAAGAAATTTTTCACTGTGAGGGTGGTAAGACACTGGAACAGGTTGCCCAGAGAAGCTGTGACTGCCCCATTCCTGGCATTGTTCAAGGCCAGGTTGGGTGGGGCTTTGAGCAACCTGGTCTAGTGGAAAGGTGTCCCTGCACATGGCAGGGGGATTGGCAACCCAAGCCATTCTATGATTCTGTGATCATGTGTCCGAAGACTCTCAAAAGACAGTAAGGTAGGCTTGCAGTCAGAGGAAAGTGGATGAGGCGTTGCACATCAAAGACAGACCTTACACCAACTCTTCTAAAGTAAACGCATTTTCTAAGTGGAAAAGGCCCTTAACTTGACAATGACCTTCTTACGAGGCCCTGAATATAAACCACATATGCTCCTTAGCAGATCACTGCGTTTTCCATAAACATGTTGCATTTTTGCTGGGAGCTTTGTCTTTCACGCATATATAAAACACAGATGTGTAAAGTGCACTATACAGGACTAACCAAAGCCAACACAAGCATATTACTATATGCAAAAAGTAAAGCGTCTGTCTTCCCAGGTACACATATATCTGTGTTTATATGTGGGTATGCATGTACACACACTGTTAGTCTTCGAAAGACACCGTAGTTTGTGCCTTCCAAATAATTTAATAGAGTCTCTCTGCTCCAGAAGTTTAGTCTGTAACTGTGACTGTCTCATAAGAGAAGTTTCCAGATACGTATGAAGCCCTAGCTACTGCCATGACTCACCACAGTCAGGCAGAACAGAACTGTCTCTGGATTTCACTGACCAAAGTCTCTGTTCGTACATCCCAAATTATACAGCTGTCTTGCTACCATGCTATCCTCTGCTGTTATCCTGTGTTACCAGTTCCCAACTGTCAATTCCCAGTTTTCAAGGAAGCATTGGCTTGGCTTTTCCTCCTCCTCAAGACTTACATTTCAAGTTGCTTTTCCAAGTGTCCACATTTCTCCTTTACAACACCAATCCTTGTCCAGGCTCCTTGCACCTTTCCACAGTACAGTATGTGCACTGTGCTCATGACTCCTTACCATTTGATCTGAGAATCCCTTCGATATATTTTCTTCTTATTAGAAATCTAAATGTAAGTCTTAAAATAGATTTCACACGAACGTCTGTTGCATTATGATGGAGAACCAAACCTTGTACAGTTTGTAACAACAGAAAAGTATTTTGTTTATGGCCCTTCACACTGTTTTCAATCAGAAAGTATGGTTTACAGTCACAGTCATGAATTACTTGAATTATGCTTTCAAGATTTTTGCGATATTATCAAATGCTTTCCTACAAACGGAATTGTTTCTACTATATTCATTTCACCTACTAGTGCCATTCTGTTAAAAAGTGAAACAATGATGTTAAGATTTATGAATAAAAGTTTATGAATAAATATTTGGTTGTTTATTATTAATCCTATAGCCATAAACTGGTATTGGCATTTGTTCTTTTTTTTTTTACTATTGGTAGATATTTTACTGCTTCTCTCCTCATATATGAGAGGAAGTATCTGACATAATCACATATTGTGGAGACCAGTAACGAGTGGCATCCCTCAGGTATCAGTGTTGGGACCGGTCTTGTTTAACATCTTCGTCGCTGACATGGACAGTGGGATTGAGTGCGCCCTCAGCAAGTTTGCTGATGACACCAAGCTGTGTGGTTCGGCTGATATCCTGGAGGGAAGGAATGCCATCCAGAGGGACCCTGATAAGCTTGTGAGGTGGGCTGATGCCAACCTCATGAAGTTTAACCATGCCAAGTGCAAGGTCCTACACCTGGGTCAGAGCAATCCCAGGCGCAGCTACAGGCTGGGCAGAGAAGAGATTCAGAGCAGCCCTGCAGAGAAGGACTTGGGGGTGTTGGTTGATGAGAAAATGAACATGGGCCAGCAGTGTACGCTTGCAGCCCAGAAAGCCAACCGTATCCTGGGCTGCATCAAAATGAGCATGACCAGCAGGTCGAAGGAGGTGATCCTGCCCCTCTACTCTGCTCTTGTGAGACCTCACTTGGAGTATTGTGTGCAGTTCTGGTGTCCTCAACATAAAAAGGACATGGAACTGTTGGAACAAGTCCAGAGGAGGGCCATGAGGATGATCAGGGGACTGGAGCACCTCCCGTATGAAGACAGGCTGAGAAAGTTGGGGCTGTTCAGCCTGGAGAAGAGAAGCCTGCATGGAGACCTCATAGCAGCCTTCCAGTATCTGAAGGGGGGCTATGGGGATGGTGGGGAGGGACTCTTCATTAGGGACTGTAGTGATAGGACAAGGATAACGGGTTAAAACTTAAACAGGGGAAGTTTAGGTTGGATATAAGGAGGAAATTCTTTACTGTAAGGGTGGTGAGGCACTGGAATGGGTTGCCCAGGGAGGTTGTGAATGCTCCATCCCTGGCAGTGTTCAAGGAGAGGTTGGACGAGGCCTTGGGTGATATGATTTAGCGTAAGGTGTCCCAGCCCACGGCAGGGGTGTTGGAACTAGATGATCTTAAGGTCCTTTCCAACCCTAACTATTCTATGATTCTATGAGTCTATGATTGTCCCTTTCATATAGATTTTTTTCTGTATTCGTTCCTCATTGCTCGTCCAGCATCTTTCTATCTTCACTCCTGCTTTTACCAATTGCTATGGTAGTCATGTGGGTATGGTGAACTTGTTAGGTAATTCTTTCAACCTTTTTTCATACAGCATCCTACCAGTTTTTCAGTATATTTGTATTTTTCTAGTGCCAATTCAATGACTTTTGGTATATATTTTTTTAAAGGTATGCACACACTCCTTAAACAATATGGGTAGTTATAGAACGGCTTTATCAATAAAGGCAGATTAAGAGCACGGGCTCACCATTTTACATGCATGTTCTAGTTACATTAAGGTTTGAGCAGGTCTGTCTATTCATCAGATACTGCACACTGTAAATGGCTTGATCTGTCATCTCTATTAGGTTTATTGCTGATAAAGCTGTCATTTGGAAAAACAGACTAACTGGCTTCAGGAGTTTAGATTCAAATTTAAATGCACCTACATAAAGTCTTACATGAACATATATATGCAATGTGGATTTTCAGCAGTGTGACTGGCTCATGCAAGTGGTTCGCAGATCTCTAGAAGTAAGTTTAAGAAGTACAATCCTGACAGCTATATAAGGTGAGACTATGTAAACGAGTATGTCTTTGGGCACAATTAGTTGTGCACATGAATGCCAGATTTTGCCAGTTTTCAAACTGTTCTTCACCTTGGTAGTTAATGCAAGACTAAGTCTCATCCCAGAGATGGAGAGGTATGTATCTGTACTTACAGCTGTCTTCCTCCTCCATGAAAATACTGATCACGTAACAGGCATACACAAATCCAATCAGCTGTAAGAAAGAAGAAGAAAAGTCATCATTAGATTACATCGGACACTTATTATGCTTTTAGTACAATGGTGTATAAATGCAGGTACCACACTAAATTTTAAAAGATTAATTTCCTGTGTTTATGTGTAAATTTCACTGCAAATGGTCACAAACAGATAAATTAAAAAGACTTTCTCTCTTTTACTCATGTTGCCTTATATTTTAAAATCTTTCCCAGTCCCACTGAGATCAGTATTGAAGAACACTACTATTGCATAATACTGATGGAATCCACTTGGACCTTGATGATCAGCTATTGTTTACATTCCTTTGTTTTCCAGTACCTCTGTTCTCACATGACTTTGACCACATGAACGTGGGTCCCAAGCACCTAGTTTATGTGTTGTGCTGCATAAAGTGTCCCAGTGAAGAACTGGTCAACAAAAGCTTAATTTGATATGTGGTGTCACATTTGAACTCATCAGTGTCAGAAAATACCTTATCAGAAGGGTCCCTCAGGTAAATTACATTAACTATGCAAGAAATGAGCAGACTCATTTCCCCAAAGGACAACAGGAGTAAAATCACGCCATTATTTCAACTGCATCTTTCACAAAACCATCCTCCTCCACCCAGATCTGTGTCACTTGTGCCACTGAGAGGAAGGGATTAAGATCTTTAGGATCAGGAACAGAAACTGCTCATTTGCTTTCTATATAGACAAAATGTTTTCTTACAACTACTGCCAAAGAAGAAGAAAATCCCACTGGGCAAGGAAATGATTAAACTGCATTGCCCAGACATGTCCATGCCTGAGAAAATATTGTTTGTGCAGCTGTACACAATTTGTGCTATCTGAAAACCTTGAAAAGCCTGTTCATGAGAGATTTCTAAATTAACCCAGAGATTAGTTTTAAGAAAACTCCCCTTTCTCTGGTCAATTCGAAAAATCTAATTAAAATGGCTCTTCTAAGGGTGTCATGGATCAGCCATTTGAGAAAGAGGTAATTTAATAGTATCTAGACAGGTATAAGCTCCTTCAGAAGCACAAAAATAATTCCAACCTGCTTTCTGGTTGGGCTGCACAAGAAGCTTTACAAGCAGCTCCAAGCACCTCTTGGCAGACAAAAAGCTTGTCCACACAAGGGAATTCAGGGAAGTTAAGAGGAATTAACTAAAGCTGTGAAATCAATGCACATAAGATAGAGTACATTAAATCCCTGTGTGGCCTTTCCCATTCAGAAATAAAGGGGCCTTAGTTCACTGCAGCTTAATCCTCCTCTAAGGGATTAATCTTCCCCATGGAGATTTAAGCTACAGTATGCTAAAGCTGAATTACTTGTGAATGAGACCTGTCATAGTGCTGCAGCACAGTCCTGTTGGAACTTCCTTTATAGGACATTAACCTCAGTGATGTTTCAGGAAAGAGAGTATGACCCAGTGTCCCTGTTGCTCTGAGCAGACTGCAGTATCGGCAGATTTCTTGGTTTTTTTGGGGTCCAATTTACTGGGACGTTATTGCCATAGCCTCTGTCAGGTGGACACCCCTTTGTTGTAGCAATGCTCTGAGCCAGCTAGATGCAAACTAGCTGTGCCTGAGCATCCATGGCCCTCTGTATTCAGTGTCATGGTAACTGCAGACAATGGGACCAGAAGCCACGGTGGGGCTGGGGTGCTCAGTGAGAGCCCATGTTTACCTGCTGAAGACTGTGGGTGGGTAAGAGGAGTCCAGCTTCTTGCTATTAATGAAATTGGGATCCTGTGGTTCTCCTGGCCTCCACCTCCAGAATCAGCTCTGCTTACAGATTTCTTGACAGATTAAGCACATTTTTTTCCCTAAACTTCACAGTTTAGAACACCATTCAGGCATTGCAACTGAAGGAATATGATATAAAGGCTTCCAAGGAGGTGGCTGGTCTCTTCTCCCAAGTAACAAGTGATAAGAGAAGAGGAAATAGCCTCAAGCTGCGCCAGGGGACATTTAGATTGGATATTAGGAAAAATATCTTCACTGAAAGGGTAGTTGGGCATTGGAATAGGTTTCCCAAGGCACTGGTGGAATTACCATCCCTGGAAGTGTTCAAAAACAGTGTAGATGCCCTCAGTGACATGGTTTAGTGGTGGACTTGGCAGTCCTGGGGTAAAGGTTGGGCTTGATGAGCTTAAGGTCTTTTGCAACCTAGTTGCTCCTATGATAAAGCAATAGTACTTGAGGTGTATTTCTTGTGCAATCTGAACATTACATATAGATTATAAAATCATTGCATTAGTGCCTCACAAACGTCAGAAAACAGGTGACTTTTCATGAGGGAATGTTGCCTGTTTCTTTACAGTATTTCCTGTTCACTATTCACATTGTGCAGTTGGACTGTGTAAGTAACTCGGGTATCTTTCTTTTCCCTAAACATGACTGAAATACTTTGAAGAATAAAACTGCTGAGTAAAAAATGAACATGATAAAAATGAACCGTATTACAGCTTGTGAGTTAAATAATTGTGAAGGAAGATCAAATATTTTGAATTATTTACCATTTTCCAATTTCTTTATGTATTTCTTTTTTTATTATTATTAGTAGTATTCTGCATTAAATTAAATTTACTTTTATGAATACAATTCCTTTTTTGAAGATGCGTGTGTACTCTATATCCATGCGTATTATATAAAGCATCAGTTCGCAAGGGCTTCCAGCAAATTCTCACACATGTATAAGATGTTGGACAGGTGGATAAAGCAGAGAAAGAGACTTTCACTCTAATGTGTAACAAAGACAAGGGAAAGCACCCTAAATGATCTTTCCTCCAAAAAAAGTATGGGGCATGGCAAGCCTGATTGTTTTAGCAGTCCTAACAGTTTACACCTTGCTCTTTCAGTAGATCTTGTCTTTAGATTGAATCTTTGAAATGCACTTTATCTAGTCTATGACCTTGAAAAATCAGCATCCTCTCTCTGCTTCTCAGTATTTCTTTATATTTCTCAGTATTATTAGATAAATAGTCCTCAGTCAGATAGAAATCACTGCTGTCTGTTATGTTTATGGCATATATTTGCTTAAAATACACCATTTTCCCCAATTTGTTTAGTTATTAATATCAGGGGGAATAAAAATATATATTCACCCTCTCAAATTTCATGGTCTTCTCAGGGTAAAAAGAAAGATCAGGTTCACGCTGGGAGGTATCATAATCCACAATACCCCAAAAATATCTTTCTGTAATTAAATGGCAGAATGCACATTTCTGAAAGAATAAATTAAACAGGAGGGGAAAGAGCCCTTTACCACCAATTGTCAGGCATTGCTTTTCAGAGATGGACAGCAATATTTGGTTTGTAACTAACATACTAGTAATTATAGTTGGGTAACTGATGCCTACAGTACAATTAACATGCAGTGATAAAATGGGAATATACCCTTCTACAGATGAGACCCATTTCCAGATTCTTAAATGAGTTACAGCCACCACAGTGTGAATATTCTTATAAATGAATTAATTAAAATCTTTTATTTTGCTTCATTGATAGACACACTAATAAAATATTTATTCCAACAAATGACTTTTGCTATCTTGATTAACCCAGCTACTGTTTAATTAATAACATTATGCTCATGCGAACCCATCTAGCCATCATGTTAATTGCCAATTTGCAGTGAGCTGACTGATATGTACTGCTCAGTTTCTTGATATTGGAAATGTTGACTCTTGGCCTGGCACCAAGTGATAGACTTAAATGTGTGTTCCCTGATAACTAAAGAAAATGTGATACAAATGAGCTGGAAGATACTTAATTTGCTCATCTTGAGTTTCAGTAATCATTCAAAGGGAATGATAAAGTGGTTGGAACAGGATACCCGAAGCATCAAAGGTCAACAGCACCTGAAAGTATAAATGGCAGCCTCTGTCTTAACACAGAGAGCAATTTAGATGCCAAGCTCGACTTGTCTTGACAATGTTGAGTTTCAAGGCATGGAAAACTTTAGGGATCCCTGCACTGCACAGGGGAATCCCCATCTTGCCTGCAGAGCACAGCCCAGTAACCTGTCTCAGAAAACACTTGTCAGCGTTATTCTGCAGAAAATCAAGTGAGAAACTGAAGGAAGAGGTTGTTGTCCCCTGCGTTCATCCAGCTACGCAGCTGTTACAGTACATATCTTGCTCTTGAGAGAATAAGCAATACATAAAATACTCAGATATTTCATAGAATCACTGAATGGTTTGGGTTGAAAGGGACCTTTAAAGATCACCTCATCCAACCCCTGTGCACCTCATCCTGTGCCATGTGCAGGAACATCTTTCACTAGATCAGATTGCTCAAAGCCCCATCTAGCCTTTGAACACTTCTAGGGTGGAGCATCCACAAGTGTCCTGGGTAACCTGTTGCAGTGCACAATCTCAAATCTACCCTTTCAGTTTAAAACCATTGCCCCTTGTCTTCTTACTACAGACCATGGTAAAATGTCTCTCTCTGTCTTCTTTATACATATATATAAAAATATACATGTATTTATATAAAGCTCCCTTTATATATTGAAAGGCCACAATAAAGTCTCCCTGCAGCTAAATAACCCCAGTTCTCTCAGCCTTCAGATCATTGTCATGGCTCTCCTCCAGACCTGCTCAAGCAGATCAGTACCTTTCTTGTGCTGGGGACTGCATAGCTGGATGCAGTACTCTAGGTGGGGTCTCACAAGAGCGGAGTACAGGAGGAAAATCTCCTCAGCTTGCTGGCCACACTTCTGATGCACCCCAGGATATTGGCTTTCCGACTTTTGCTGGCTCATGTACGGTTTTTCATCCACCAGGATCCCCAGGTCATTCTCCACAGCACTGCTCTGAATACCTTCATCCACCAGCCTGTACTAATATTAAGGATTGCCCTGAGTCACATGAAAGATCTTGCACTTGGCCTTATTGAACTTAATAAGGTTCACACAGGCTCATTCCTTGAACCTGCCAAGGTCCTTTTGGGTGACATCTCTTCCCTTTAGCATGTCAACTACACGACTCAGTTTGGTGTCATCAGC